GTTGTGCTGGTGCTGTTGATGATGGTGTGTTGTGCTGGTGCTGTTGATGAATTGGTGTGTTGTGCTGGTGCTGTTGATGTTGGTGGGTTGTGCTGGTGCTGTTGATGTTGGTGTGTTGTGCTGGTGCTGTTGATGTTGGTGGGTTGTGCTGGTGCTGTTGATGTTGGTGTGTTGTGCTGGTGCTGTTGATGTTGGTGTGTTATGCTGGTGCTGCTGGTGAGGGTGTGTCGGCTTGTGCTGGAGACTTGGAGCTGTTATCCGACTGTGCTATATTGTGTGTAATAACACATACTGCTGCTTTTGCCCTGTTATTGTTCAAGCTCACGTTTTTGCTGTTGCTGCAGTTTCTGCAGAAGGTAAAATAAGTGTAACTACAGTTGGTGTCGCAAATATTTGTTCTTCGGTTGCGTCCGTTGTTGCAGTCACATAATCTGTTGACATCAAATTATGTTCCCTCGGTTAATGTAATACGAGCCTCAATTAAAGTTGCTGTTAATCGCACAGATACACTTACGTTCCCTGTTAAAGCGCAACATTCCTAGTTACTTCTAAGCCGACGAGCAGAGACAAATGTTACCTGTACGGACTCGATTAGAAGCGACCTGTCTGTCAGCTGAATAGTTTAAGTATGCCGATCCTCCAGTAATTTGGTAAGACTTGATTATTAGCTGTATAATTAGTTTGATTTACTGATGAATATGAATTTTGTCATTATCTTTGTTACTTTCTATTTACTGCTTTTTTGTATTGATTTTCAGAAACCAGTTAAAAACTATCACGAAACCGCGTGTCAGTTACTGTCCTCCACGATTCTTAAAGATCTGCGAGAAGGATCTTTACAGTTTCAAATTAATTCGTCATAGTCAATCGGCTGACAGATCTAACATTTACGATGCTACGAACTCCTACCCACGGAGATGAACCTGAAGTTCCATCGGGGAAACTAGGCGCCGTAACAAGGAAAAGAAACGAAATCGAGGAGCTCTTGATCCTCGATCCACCCCCATACGACGAAATTCGAAAACTTTTCAACGAATATTTAACGAAAGTTGAACATCTGTATGCGGCAGCGCTAGACGGTAACCACAATGACTGGTTAGCTCCCCACAAGATTGCAATCGACAATTTCAGGGAAAAGGTGGAGTTAGCGTTGTCGTCGCTGCGTAAAACGGTGAGTGAAGCCACGCCATCTGTGAAGTCATCTTCGTCTTCTACTTCGTCAGTCAGGATTAAATTAGCTCAAAGGAAAGCAAAGCTCGCCGCTGAAAAAGTCCTTCTAGAGAAATCTTCCCAGTTGGATCAGGAAGAAATTCAGCTCAAAATTGAACAATTGAGACTCGAACGCAACCGAAAGCAAGCAGCGGTTGACAGCGCAGAGCTTGAGAATAAAATTCTTGAAGAGGAATTGGACTTGCTGGATGCGGCTGGTTCTGTTGGCGGCAGCGAGACCTCGTCATCCAGCGTTCGTGTCCCACTCAAGAGAGCAGCGCC